CTAAACCTCTCGAAGACTTGTTCTGTTTCGAGCTTTGTTTGGTAGGTGATTTGGTTTATAGATCGGTGTTTAACCATATACTCAAATAAAGCTCAGAAAAATAGAAATCTAAGAACTCTTTATATTTTATTTATTTAATTTTTTTTCTTGAAATAGAATAAAAAGAAAAATTAATTGCCTCTCCCCGGCAACGACACCAAATTTGACGAGCACTTTGTCACGGTGCGTCAAAATAAATTCAATACTAGCACTTATACGTAGTATAGCGTAGTGCTAAAAAGGAATAATTCTAGCAACAAATTAATGTAGTTCGTATCCACAGGGAAAGGAATAATTCTCTTTTTATGAAACTTAGTAAATAAAGGTGGGATTTGGATTGAGTGATTTAATTTAATTAAAAACTAAGATGAACGACTTATATGATATTTAATTCAAAGATAAAAAGGACTTGGTATTGCTACTTTCCACTTGTTGATATATTTTAGTCGATCATTGTTATATCTATAACTTATTCCCTCTCGAATACTCAATCGGGGAGTATATCCACTTCATCGAGGGTAGTTATTAACAACAACCGTTCATTAATAACCCTTACTATTAATCAAATATAGAACAACGCCTTATACCGATTCAATAGTAGCATTTAATCTTTCTAACTCCTTAATGAAATCTATTGAGATTGATAACCTCAACACAACGGTTTCGGTTTAACCAAAAAAATCAATCCCTCTTAAGTTTATTAACCACGACCGTGCATTAATAAACCGAAGTTACTTACTTGTGAAACCATCAACGATTAACCATCGGTTCGTTGATCGTTTCTAGTAATAATTAATATATGAAACAAAACTAGTTGATCCTTTAAGTAATGTTCAAAATATTAATATGAAATATGAGTAGGAATTAATTAATATTCAAGGAAGAATATTATTAAAGAAGATAAATCCTACTATAATTAATATCAAGATGTTAACTAATTGTCATCTTAGCAGCACTCCCCAACACTAATATAGAGGAAGAAAATACCATTCTAACTAATGTCGAGATGTTAACTAATTGTCATCTTAGCAACACTCCCCAACATTAATATAGAGATAGTATTAAGGAAAGAACTATTAATTAATATTCAAGGAAAGACGTTAAGAAAATAACTCACAACTTTAATAATCAACAAGCTTCAAGAGCAACACCAAGAATTGGAAGTTTAGCTCCTCATTTGGAGACTAAACATAGCTAGGAAAATATAAAGAATTGCTATTCTAAACTGAGCTTAAGAGTATGGAAGAAGGGATGAATTTTAGAGAAGAAAAAAAGTACTATTTATAGGCGTTTTTCAACACCTTTGGCTGGGTACCCGACCGGGTCAAGTACTCACCCGACCGGGTCCGTTCAAAATCAGATATTTCACCACGTTCTGGTGATCTTCGCACACCGGGTTGTCTCCGGTCACTTCTCACCCGACCGGGTGAGGTATGGGGCCCGACCGGGTCCAGCTCTTTCCCTAGTGGTTCGATTTTCAAATCAGACCCGACCGGGTGATGTTTCCTACCCAGTCGGGTATTTGCTCCTGGACAGTCAAAATTCCTTTTTCTTCACTTCAACATCCTCCTTTCCAACATCCTAATTCCTAATTCTACTTTACAACTTACAAATGAGAACTAAAATACAATTACAACTAAAATCACACAAATGTTTACAAACTAAAAAAAACTTCAAACAATCACCATCAATGAAACATAAAAACATACAATTATGCACTACTAATTAGTGTGCATCAGGGGGTTTTTTAGAGGCAAACGACATTTAGCGACCGATTATTTGTTGGTAACCATTAAATTGCCCCAAAAGAGCATTAGAGGCAAGTTTTCTACTTTTTGAGGCAATTTTGGCATGCTTCCGTAAATCAATTTTATTGTAGTGCACCCACTGCTATTACCAGTGGTCCTTCCAGCTTTGCCGCCACACCGGAATTTTCTGGCCCAACACTCTTCGGCCAACCGGGAATATTCCCGGTTCATCCATCTACATCTTCTCGGTTACCAGGTTTTCCTCCATCATCTGCCACATCCAATTTAGCCTCTTTATCATCCCAACTCACGTTTTTTACACCTAACGTGACTAATGTGGTTACCACTCGTCTTACTGCTGTGGAAGACTATCTCCCATGGAGGACTCAATGTGAATCCTTTCTTGTATCACATAGTCTTCTTGGAATTATAGATGGCTCCATATTAATTCCGTCTCCATCCATAATTTGACCCGAATGGAGGTCCCAAACCCAGATTACCATCATTGGTTAAAAATTGACCAAACAATCCGATCTTGGCTTTTTGCCACGTTGTCCCGCGAGGTGTTAATAGATGTGCATGATCTTAAATTTTCCCATCAAATTTGGGAGCGTCTACAACATCGTTTTTCGTCTGCGTGTATTGCTCGGTCCATGGAGTTAAAGAGAACTTTATCTCATCTTAAAAAGCGTGAAAATCAATCCATGGACGAGTATTTACGAGAGATTAAGATCATTGCCGATAACCTTGCTACAATCAACTCTCCGATAAGTAATCGTGACCTGATTGAATCGGCCATTTCTGGTCTTGGACGGGATTATGAATCTCTGGTGACTGCTATATCTTATTTTCCGGGAAACGCCATGTTGGATTCACTGCGGCCCATACTTCTGGCACAGGAACAGAGAGTTGCCTTTCTCAGATCAGAAGAGGTCCAACCGTTTCATCAAGCTTTCGCTGCTCCTGATGCCGCAGCACCACATCCTGGTCGCGGCGCTCCAGCCTATGGAGGTGGCGGACAGAGGGGTCATGTAGGTGGTGGACGTGGATACCGGGGTTGTAACACCCCTACCCCGTAGGCCCCGAGGTAGTCACAAACCGCCACTAGCCTTTTCCACGCACTCTATCCTCACTCGTGCGCGCCCTGAGAAACTTCGCAGGGGGTCACCCATCCCAAGACTACTCCCGTGCAAGCACGCTTAACATTGGAGTTCTCGGTTAATGAGCTCCTTAAAAGGAGATGCACCTTATTGGTATGAGTAGTACTGTTAATCCTCTTAAATTAATCTCGGGTATTACAATCACCCCCACTTAGGATCACAACGTCCTCGTTGCGCCCTTAAACCAATCTCAATCAAACCCCAGAATCTTGCCCCGCTTAGTGCCCGCCTGATATCCAACGGGTCAACACACTGTCGCAGGGTTGCTGTCATACCATTTTGTAACACCCCCAAATTTCCTTTCCAAAATAATACTTAAAATTATATTTTTCCTCGTAAATAATTATTTTAGGTAAGTCACACAGCAGTAAGACGAGTGGTAACCACATTAGTCACGTTAGGTGTAAAAAACGTGAGTTGGGATGATAAAGAGGTTAAATGGGATGTGGCAGATGATGGAGGAAAACCTGGTAACCGAGAAGATGTAGATGGATGAACCGGGAAGATTCCCGGTTGGCCAAAGAGTGTTGGGCCAAAAAACTCCGGTGTGGTGGCAAAGCTGGAAGGACCACCGATAACAGCAGTGGGTACGTGTCCAAGTAAAGTGGCCAGAAAAGGTGCAGGAATGTTGAAAAGCCTGTAAGAATCCATGGTTGGGGCGACCAAAGGCTGAGACATCCGAGTGTCAAGAGAAGACTGCTCCATGAATACAGAGACAGGTGCCAGCGGTGGGATGGTGGAAGGTTGCATGTCATCACCAGGTACAGAGAGTTGCACGGATGAGGCTACCGACGCTGTTGTTGTGGAGGTCGGCAATTGTTGCGGTGGTGCGGATGTAGAATTGTTATCGTCCATGAGGCTGGAAACCCTAGCCGTCTGATACCATATACAAATGTATTATTTTAGAATGAAAACGGCTCACCCTTAGGCTAGCCTTAACCTCATATTTGTAATAGTAATAGCTTTCAACAATTACAAATATGCCCTAGAAGTATAGATTATTACCTACTACTTAAATAGTACGGAGTAACTTATCTAAGCTTATTAAAATGGAATGATTTATGAGTGTAATTTATGTATGGCGAAATAAACTCAACTCTTTTCACCAATTAAATTAAAGGTTCAAGCTTATACCAGGTGAGGTGATAAACTGCGCCACAAGAAAATATCAACTGTGAATATACTTTGTATATACGTAGTATAATTGGTGGGCGTAACGGCGTCTCACAATACCAATTGGTGTACATTGATAAATGAACATGAGAGTGAATATTTGAGATATTCAATGTGAGAGTCGCATACAGAAAAAACATCCAATAGTGATGTTGTACAAAAGGGGTACTTGCGTGCTTACAAAAACGTTTGAACTACACATGTGGGCATCTCAGCTCTCATATAATGAAATTAGATTAAAATGAAGTTAACACTTTAAATAATTGTAAAAACACATAAGTACAAACACCAATACATATTTTAATATATACCTCGTATATAGACATGATAGATTCTATGGTACTTATAAGATACCATACCTTCATCCACATGGATCAATCAGAATGTTGTAGTTGAATCATTTAAATTTAAATTAAAAATGATATAATGATTTGGACCAATCAAGTGAATGATAGGTACGATACCCCATTTTTTAAATGAGTACCGGAGTTGTCACCTATACTCGTTGAAAAAGCGGGCTCATGCTGGATATGAGTCCAAACCGAGGCATTGATGGACATATATTGTCAAATACTCCGTATATAACTCAAACTTTACATACCGTGTTAAGGCATGGGTTAGATACTGATCGATGAAGAGTAAACTAATAAGGAGTAATATTTATATTTGGCGATTTTGAGTGAACTAAGCTATTAAAAATGAACAAAAAATAGAAACATCAATATACTATCATATCAACCTTATATATTACTCGATTTATTACTAAACTCGTGCTTTAAAATTCTCTAGCTAATAAGAAAAGAATGACTATTCTACCCACACAGTTGTAGTGTGCCTAGCTAGCGCCCTACAGAGACATACTTCTAGTTTCTTGCATCATGAAGAAAGTAAGGTTTTTGTATTCATAATGTATTTTTCAGTTACTGCAGATGTAACTTCCCAATATATATATAAAAGCAAAAAGGGAGGAATTGCTTTGGCATCCGAAGATTAAAAGCATTCTCTTGTACCTAAATTCTTAGTTACAAAAATGGAGAGGCATAGATTCTTAAACGCAATAGAAAGAAAAGAATGTTACATAGCTCAAAGCACATATCTAGCTATGCCGTCCTTTCCGTAATAAATACCTCAATTAAATTAAATGCTCAGCTTCTCAGATACAGAAGCATAAGGAGACTGCTACCTATTTTCCACCAAAATATGTTTTCCTTGTGCATTGGCGGCCTTGCCGCTTCCGACGACTTCATGTCCCTATATTTTATTCACAGCTGATCAGGAACACAATGAAAAAGAACCACTTTTGCATCAAAAGTGATCGATATAAGTCGGGATGATATGAATAACATTACCCATGGTAGTGACCAGAGGTTGCATAAGTGCATGTTTCATAACCTGCAAATCAAGAAATGGTTATATATGTTATAGGACTATATTTTGGTACAAATCGTAGACTTTATTTATTAGGACATATATGGCTCCGTTATAGTCATTCAGATTCATTTGGTTTTTTATTTCTTTCTTTTTTTTCTCCAGGGGGCGTCTAGGGGAAGGGCTGGGGCAACCTGGAGTAATCTAGACTGAAACTCAACCAATTGAGTTTCGAACCCGAAACCTTCCACAAGAGAGAGTGAGTCCACGACCAGCTGGGCTGGACCGCTTCCTCTGATTGTTCTTTGGCATGTCATTCAAAATTTGAAGTCCCAATATAAGACGACTTGAATGTGTAATGTGACATTCTTAAATTCACACTCAACCCTGCTAAGCTTTCGATCGTCTACTTCAATTTGGATAGTTGGATCAAAACACCTTTTCTCAATTAAAAATCAGCCATGTTTTTCAAAACGTGACACATTTAATAGTACAATAATAGCATCCAAGCCTAGCTTCAAAAGATTTTGGGGTTTACATGACACATTTAGTAGTAAAGGAATAAAATTTGGGGAAAATTGACAAGAATAATCCCACCTTTCACCGATCTTCTCATAATAATCCTACCCTTACATAATCTCAAAAGAATCTCACCTTTGCACCCTATCTTCTTTGAATTGGATCCTGATCAAGTTTTTTACCTTTCTTTGAAAATTTTATATAAATAATCTCACATTTATAAAGATATAATAGAAAAGTGAGAGGTAAGATTATTTATATGATTTTCAAAAAAAGAGTAAAAAACATGGTCAGGGTCCAATGAAAGAAGATGAGGTGCAAAGGTGGGATTGTTGTGGGATTACCTAAAGGTGGGATTATTATGAGAAGACCAACGAAAGGTGGGATTATTTTTGTCAATTTTTCCTAAAATTTGAATAGAGATATTTCAAAGTGTGAATATTACTCCCTCCGTCCCGCAATTAAGATACCACTTTCCTTTTTTGGCAGTCCCTAAATTAAGTTCACACTTCTTTACTTTCCTTATTTGGCTAATTATCTACATCAAAACATTGTCAAACAATGTCAAACATTGTTTGAACAGTGCAAAACAGTGCACTCCACAGTAAAGTCAAATTTATTTTATTAATCTGTGTGAAGTCAAATCGATAACTTAATTGGGGGACGGAGGAAGTATGTCTTTTTCTCAAAAACATAACTCCTTAGTGAGATCATTTTTCGTGACATGCATGTCTTAAACCAGGATAAAGGTGTGAAGTGATGATACATGTGACCATCCATGGTGTGAAATTACTTCCAGTTATGAGCCTATTTGGTAATATTCAAATCGGCTGTGTTCTCTAATTCCGGTGAAATTTATGAAGTTGTGGTTGAAGTGGCTGAATTGGTTGATTCTGTTGATCTATGAAAAAATTATATTTAAATATATTTTATTAATAAATAACGAAAAAATCAAATGAAAAACACCTAAAACGATCTTTTGCCATAACTGCAGTCAATATCGTCAAAAAATTAGCTCCGATTTTACTTTTTCTTATTGTTACACAATTCAACATCAAAATCAAAAGTTACGAGTTCAGTGAAAAAATGGATCGATACACCCAATAGTCAAAGGGGCTCTATGTTAAAAATATAATATTCTCAAAATAATTACTGAAAACCCCGAGTATTCCGGAGCAATTTTTTATTCAACAAAAATATTGTATGAGCCAAATTAGTAGTGAATGCTGAGTAGCTACGATGGTGACTCACTGGGGTTGTTTCCGGTGAGCGTGGCAGCTCCACCGAAGTAGCAAGCCGCGTCATTGTTCCCATTCTGTTGGTAGTAGCTATTGAAAGCGTACGAGGCATGGGAAAGCAGAGTGTTGGGCTCGAAGCATGGGCCGCCTGGTTGAATTGCCCCGCAGTCGACCGGTCCCAGTTGACTGCAAGCCCAGTCCAATGCCACCTGTAAATCGAACTGCGACGCGCCGCCGCGGGCCACGCACCAAGTCGTGCCGCCGAGGAATGTGGTGTTCCCCTCCGGCGGAGAGTGTGTGATGGTTTCCGGCAAAGCAGATGCAGATTCCATCATCCTCCTCCTTTGTATCCTAGCATCTACTTTGGTAACTGGACATTTTGCACACAAAAAAAATCCTATGTAAATGAAATTAAAATCTGAAACTCAACATATTTCCAATATAAGCTTGGGTCCATTTTGTTTTAGTTTTAACATTAAAAACTCTATCACTAAATAATAATCCATATACTTCCATTCTTTGTCCTCCCACAAATTTATCTGAACAATAAATGCATGTAAGGTTTGATAGAATATATTATTGTTACGTTGTTACATTCCTTCAAGGTTACATTCCTAGAATATACACAAAATTGTCTAAATTTAATATAAAATTTTTTTCTTTTACATAAAATTTGTACACATTTGAACGTAATTGCCGGTTGTCGCATTGTGTGTATGCAGACACTTACGTACAATCTCTATGAAATGTGTACAAATTTTGTACGCTTTATTAAGTAGTTGTAAGTTGTAACCATTGCGTTCATGCACAGACATTTACATACAATCTCTACTGAACAAATTAAATGGCAAAAGCGATTAATAACACTACTCAAATACAGTAAAAAGTGAGTATATGATCGATTAAATGTAGGTGACATTTTTTGAACATGAGGTGAAAATACCATGGCAGCATTGCACAAAGAGAAGGAAGTCAAGAAGAAAACCCCAAACTTGAGCTTTCATGGCTGGGTGACAGGGTGAGAGCGGACTGGCCGGTGGCAAAGCTGGGTTGACAGAGAGGAATATAGTAGTGGTTGAGTTGAGAGAGAATGGAGATAGTCGTATCGTAGTTAATAAACAAAAAACGGAGTCTAGGGAGGGAAAAGACGTCTCATAATGGCGCTTTTTAATGCACATACATGAAGAATCAGCCGTTTCTTCTCATCCAATTTTCCTTCTCTTTGTTTTCTTTACTTTGGAATTCTAGAGTTGTAAAACCTCCAAAATTTAGAGTTAGTCGAACTTTCATAAAAAAGTCAATTAAGTCTTTCTATAGGAGACTCTATCCGGTTGTCGCGATTTTTGATGAAATTTTTTGAGCATCTTATTCATCAAATCTAGTTTACTCATACTAAATTTCAGCTAAAAATTTAATCAGGAGCGCATTCAAATTAATTCGAGAACGCAAAAATGCGCAGTTATCTTCAAGAATTAATTTGAATGTGTTCCTGATTGAATTTTTAGCTGAAATTTGGTATGAGTAAACTAGACTTGGTGAATAAGATGCTCAAAAATTTTCATCAAAAAATTCCACCGGGAATTGCCCCAACTCGCGACGGCCGGACAGAACCTTCTATAGAAGGACTTAATTGACCTTTTTATGAAAGTTCGAGGATCTATTTGACAGTTTTTCCTTTAAAGTTTGTTTTGTAATCCTTAAATTGATTCAATCGATTGAATTTGTGTGAATAAATGAAGTTCTTATTAAAGTGTTTTAATCTCCCGAAAATGCTGAATTATAGAAAAATTATATTTAAAATAAAGAACAAGTATATGAAAATATAGAAAAAATGATTCTAAACTGTAACTCCTACCAATTCAATAAAAAAAGAAAATTCAAACTTACTTATTTTGAATATTATACACTTCAACGCTTGAAATATAAAATTATATGTGTTAAAAATGATTAATAAGACTGATAAATTAAAATAAAATGATTAATGCAAAAATATTTAAGTAAATGGGAAAACCATACTACGTGCAAGTAAGAATAAATTTATCGTTTAATTCGGGAGAATTTCTCAAATAGGACTAAATAAATTTTAATTGTCAAAATAGGATCGTAACTTAAATTTCGCTGAATAGGACTAGCTAGCTTTTCGATTCCACCATTCCTTTGTTTTGATACAATTCATATTTTATTAATAATTAAAATATAAAGTAATAAACATAACTTTATTTAAAATAAAAATGAAAAAAATAAAAAACATGAAATAAAAATTATTTAAAATTAATAAAAATAAAAAATTCGAAAAATAATAATTAAAAACAAAACTTAAAAACTAAAAATAAAATAAATAATGTAAAAAAATTAAAATAAAAACATGCAGACCTATGTTGCTGCCTCAGCAACCTCCCGGCACCACCAGCTTCGATCACCTGAAAAAAATGTCAACATGTGTCAGAAATGCCATCTTGATAGCAGTTTTCGAGAAAATGACAGTATTTACACAAAATGACTTTTTTTAACCGATCAGAGATAAAGTTGTTGGACAGTAGCCGAGACTGTGGGAAAGGCCTCCATATTTTTTATATTTTTTTAAGGTATTTTATCTATTTTTTATTTATTTTAAAGTTTTTAATTTTTAAAAAAAATATTATTTTTTAATTTTAATGATTTTCGTTTTTTTTAAATATTTTAGAATTTTTTTATATTTGTTTACGTTTTTTGTATAAGTTAAATTATTTTTTATTATTTTTTGTATTTATTACAAATTAAAATTTGATTTTCCTATTAAGTTGTGGTAAGGGTATAACAAGAAAATAGAGTATACTTTAGCTTTATTTGAGCAAGGTAAATAACAGAGTCCTAATTATACATTTAGGAATTAATTTAATTTTATTTAAGGCTAGTATCTCTTCACTTTAACATACCTAAAAAAAAGTAAAAATCATATCTAGATACCACAATAAAGCAACGCCGTGGCTGTGATAATATGAATTGAAAGAACTTAACATTGCAGTAAATCAGAGAGATCACTTCAACTGACACGCGTGAGCGACTTTGGAAGACGATACTCGGTATTTATTTATTTATTTATTTATTTATTAAAGGAAAAATGACGTAACCGAATGTTTGCTTTAAGGTATAGCCGTACAGGTTTATACCTCCAGGCAGGCCCAGGAACTAATATGCAAAAATCGATTTAGGATCTTTTTATTTGGACACGTTTCATGTTACACGAGAGTTAAACAGATGAGATTAAAGTAAACCAGACTTAAACGAATGCAGAAATTGAAGAAAAGCAGAAGAAGTTGTATTACGAAGAAGGAGAAAAATGAATTGTATTTTTACGGTAGGTTAAAGTAATCTATTTATACTAAAGGGCTAACAGGCTAAATTAATATAACAGTCCAATACAGTTTTAAGCCCAATAAGAATAAGCCCAATTAGGGATATGAGTAAGATTTATGAGTCCAGAATTAATCTTTTCCCTTATTAAATGACAATCCAGTTCTATGTGTTTAGTTCTTTGATGTTGTATTGGATTATATGCTAAATGATATGTAGATTTGTTATCAGTATATAATGTAATAGGTAAGGAATTATGAATATGTAAATCCTGAAGAATATAAACAAGTCATTGGGCTTCACAGACTGCATTTGCTGCAGCCCTGTATTCTGCTTCAGTAGAGGACCTACTGATAACAGATTGTTTCTTGGATTTCCAAGAAACCAAAGAATCACCAAGATAAAAACAATAACCAGAAATACTTCTCCTAGTATCAACACAGGATCCCAATCAGAATCAGTATATGCTTGAATAGTGAAAGAAGATTTGGAGGAATAAAAATGTCCTTTACCTGGAGAGCTTTTAAGATATCTAAGGACTCTATGAGCTGCAGCCATATGAATGTCAGTAGGAGAAGATAAAAATTGACCAAGTGTTTGGACAGAATAAGCTATATCAGGTCTGGTTACAGTAAGGTATAACAATCTGCCGATTAAAGTCCTATAGGTTTTAGGATCACTTAAAACAGTGCCATTATTTTTTGAGAGTTTAATTTTTGAATCCATAGGTGTAGAAAAAGGTTTGGATGAAAGATACCCAAAATCAGAAAGAATATCAAGAGTATATTTTCTTTGATTTAAAACAATACCAGTTTTTGATCTAGCAATTTCTATTCCCAAAATGTATTTCAATTCACCAAGATCTTTAATAGTAAATTTATGATGTAGAAAATATTTAACAGCATTAATTTCATTCATATCATTTCCAGCAAGAATAAGATCATCAACATAAAGTAATATTGCAGTAAAAGAGGTTTTACTAACTTTAGTGAAAAGAGAGAAATCTGCCTGAGATTGATTATAACCAAAAGATTTTAAAGATTCAGAAAGTTTAAAATACCATTGTCTAGATGCTTGTTTTAAACCATATAAGCTTTTAAGAAGTTTACAGTATCATTACTTTGTAAATAACCAGGAGGGGGTTGCATATAAATGTTTTCATTCAAATCACCATGTAAAAAAGCATGATTTACATCTAATTGATGTAAGTACCAGTTTTTAGAGCTGGCAATAGCTAAAAGAATTCTTACAGTGGTTAACTTTAACGCTGGAGAGAAAGTATCAAAGTAATCAAGGCCTTCTTCTTGAGTGTAACCTTTTGCTACAAGTCTAGCTTTATATCTATCAAGAGAACCATCAGATTTAAGTTTTGTTTTAAAAACTCATTTGCAACCAATAGTATGTTGATTAGAAGGAAGATCAACAAGAATCCAAGTATTATTATTTTCAAGGGCTTTAATTTCATCATTCATAGCATTTTGCCATTCTGAAAATTTAACAGCTTGTTTGTAAGTTTTTGGTTATGGAATCTTAGAAAGAGATGCAATGAAACAGTGATGAGAAATATTTAATTTGTTATAAGAAATGTAATTTTGAATAGGATATCTAACCATATTACAAGAAGATTCAGGATTACCTGGAATGATAGAATTAGGTAGATCATAAGCAAAATCTCTTAAATGAATAGAAATGAATAGAAATGGATCTTACTCTAGTAGATTTTCTTTGAGTATTTTGTTCAGAAATGTTGTCATGAACCTGAGAAGTTTCTGTGTTCAACAAACTAGAAGAATCATTAGCAATAGAGTTATTATTATCAGAATGAAACAAATTTACCTCCTCATTGATTTGAGTGTCCAAGTAATTTGTGAGAGTATTATTAGAATCATTTGAATTTTGAGTAACAGAATTAGTGAGATTGTTTAAGTAGTCATTAAAAATATGATTATTTTGTGTATTTGTGAAATCTGAATCAAAATTATTTTTAGTATGTTGAGTCTTATATGGAAAAATCATTTCATAGAACTTAACATTTCTAGAAATAAAAGTTTTATGAGTAGTTAAATCATATAATTTGTATCCTTTAGAACCTAAAAAATAGCCAATAAAGATGCATTTATGTGCCCTAGAATCAAACTTAGTTCTATTAGAAGAAATAGTTGAAGCAAAAGCCAAACAACCAAAAACCTTTAAATGATTATAATCTGGAGCATGATTATAAAGCATTTCAAAAGGAGATTTGTTATGAAGAATAGAAGTGGGAAATCTGTTGATTATATGCACAGCAGTAAGTATACAATCAGACCAAAAAGTGATAGGCAAACAAGATTGAAAAAGAAGAGATCTAGCAATTTGTAAAATGTGTTGATGTTTTCTTTCAACCCTACCATTTTGTTGAGGAGTTTCAACACATGATAGTTGATGAACAATACCTTTTGAATTATAAAAATCAGGAAAGAAGAATTCAGTACCATTATCAGTTCTTATGATTTTAATTTTCTTTTGAAATTGAGTTTCAATAAAAGTATAGAAATTTAACATATGAAATTTTACCTCAGATTTAGTTTTAAGTAGAAAAACCCAAGTACATCTAGTGTAATCATCAACAATAGTTAAAAAATATTTAAAACCAGTGTAAGAAGTAACTTTATAAGGACCCCAAACATCCATATGTATCAAATCAAAAGCATTAGAAGCATGAGAAGTACTGATAGGAAAAGGAAGCTTTTTTTGTTTAGCAAAATGGCAAATATCACAAGGTAAAGACTGTTTGTCATTATCAGAAACATTACAATCAG